ACCTAATCACTGTCGACCCTGCTCGGAAACTCAATGAAGTTTCCGGTATCTAGGTAGGTATCGAAAGCATCTCGACGGGCGAACAAAATCTGGCTCACGATTTTCACTTGCGCCTCCACTTCTCAAACCTCCATGACATTAGATTAATACGACTAGGTTTCAACACCAAGTCTATGCATGTTGTCACACTACATGGCTTGACGGTGAAGGGACTGTGACATGGGATGAGAGTGCTGATGAGCTCAATGACGCCAAACTACTACCAGATGGGGTGAGTAGGCCGTCGACAAGTACTCCATGCGAAATGCGACTGCCTCAGTCCCAACACAGAATGCTTTCGTAGTTGCTCAACAAATCTGCATCCAACAAGCACAGGCTCATCATTTGTAAAAAGCAGGCCTCAAGTGCACTGATTCACCTGGACGGACGAACAAACACAGACAGACGCATGCGCAGATGCTTCAGGCAAGGGTATCTTCACAGCTAGCACATCACGGCAGCTTCGCCACGCGCCCCTCGAGGTCCTTCACCCACCCCTCGATGACCTTCATGTTCCCGCTCATCGTGGCGCCGCCCTCGCGGACGGCCTCTTCGACCTTGTCCAGACCCTCCCGCCACTGCTTCATGTCGGCCGTCATGTCGGCCTGCTGCTTCTCGATGCGCTCGAGAATCTCGCTCGCGGACGCGGCGTCCGCGTGCACGGCGCGCAAGGACCGCAGCCGGTCGAGGAGCGGCGGCAGCAGGGGCGCCAGGCTTTCAATGGTAGGCAGCGTGCCGTAGAGGGCGTTGATCTTGGCCGTCTGCTCCGAGTCCTCGGCGTCTTCGGCGGAGGAAGGGCTGCCACCGCCGAGGGATTCCCGCGCGGCCTTGGCGCCCTGCCGCGCCTTTTCGAGCTGGTGGGCCTCCTGCGTCAGGGTGCGGACGCGCCGCGTAATGGCGTCGAGGTTCGACGTCGACGCCTGGGACAGCGTGACAATCTGCCTCTGCAGCGCGTCGAGGGTCGGCAGGAATGGCGCGCGGCA